CTAAAAATCAAAGGAAAAAAAATATCCTCTGCTGAGAATTAATAAAAAAAGAAAAAAGAAAGAAAAGGATTTGCTCTATTAAGGTGGACTCCGGGTCTGGTCTTTTATCAGGCTCTAAGCTCCCTAGGAGTACGTCAGTGTCAACCACCAGACAAAATGTAATGCTCCTAAAGAGCAGAGTCTATATCTAATTCTTTTTTGCATCCCACTCAGCACAACAATATTCAACAAATTTGTGATGAAACAGATATTGGAGGAGGGAAAAAAGTCTATTTGTGTCAAAAAGCCTAAATAAACAAAACTCAAGTTGGTAATGAACAAAACCCGAGTTGACTATGATTGTGGTTTCCCAATTTTCTGATTCTCAGTTCTTAGGGACCTGCCACGCACCCACTCGCTCAGGGTCACTCAAGCCCCAGCTCATAATACTTGTATTGGTCAATAAGGAGCCTTCTGTTATCACAGGAGGAGGGTAGGTGTCCTCAGAGCTCACTGGAAATCCCACCTCCTCCTTTTGTGTTTTCTCCCATTCGCAGAAACAGAGCATGTAGACAATCTAGTTCAAGGTCCTCATTCTGCGGTTGAGGAAACACCGAGACGGGTTTAAGTGTCTAGTCTGAGATGACACCTTAGGCACAAGTCTGCTCTCTGAATTGCTGTTTTCTTGACCTAATTTCTGCTCCATGGATGAAGAATGAATTATTTTTATTAGCTTTAAACAATTAGAGTTTGATTTAGCTTCTTTTTTTCCCCTCAGAGGTGTTGATTTTTGGAGGAGACATCTTAAAATTTGCAGGTACGGGGCTCCCCGAGATGGGCGGCGTCTCCGAGGCAGCGGTGCCAGGAGCTGGGGTGAGGAATGCCTGTGTCCGGATTTCAGACGAGCAGGCCGATCCCAGGGCAGGGCTAGAGCCCCGGCGTGTCTGTCTCCTCCAGGTGACGCTCTCCTAGCCCTGTGGAAGGTGGAACGGAAGCAACTGAAGAACATCATCACGGTGGTAGTGAAATGCAGCCTGGAGATCCACGAACTGTTCGGGACGCAGGAGTCGGACGGCCCGGATATCCGAGTCAAGATAGGTAAGCTTGTGAGGAAGGAGACAGACGGGCGTCTAAGCAGACGGTGTCCTAGAACCAGGCGAACCAGGAGCTGGCGGCTGGCTTTGGAGGCCCGGCCCAGAAGAGGCCGTCGCACCGCGGTTCTGATTCTCCCAAGAGCCCGGCTGCTCGGCAGACCCTGCTCTGCCTCCCTGCCAGGGCTGGCCGCCGGCCACATCACCATGCTGGTCTTCGGGGACGAAACCCGCAACTACTTCCTGGTGATCGGCCAGACGGTGGACGACGTGCGGCAGGCGCAGAACCTGGCGCACATGAACGATGTCATCCTGTCACCCAACTGCTGGCAGCTCTGCGACCGGAGCATGATTGAGATCGAGAGGATTCCAGACCAGAGAGCAGTGAAGGTGTGTGGGATGCTGTCACCTGCAGAAGGTCTAGCCTGGGCCAGGGGCCCCCGTCGGAGAAGCCACTGGGGCCCGGGGGGCCAGTCTGGGGTAGACCCCGAGGCTTTGGTCTGAGACACCTCTGCCGAGTTCCAGGGGAGATGCCGAGGCCTCCCCGCCGTAACTAGGGGCGTGGAATTTGGGTGCGGTGGCCATCAGGGGGCTAGTGCCCTTGCTTAGGAAGAGGAAGCGCCTGCTGGCCGGTCCCCAGGAGCAGGGGGCTGTCATTTTGAGGGCTGCCAAAGGCCGGCACCTGCACCACCCCACACCCTGCTGGCTCAGGGCGAGGGCCCCCGAGGGGAGGGCTGGAGGCGAGCAGGGGCAGCGAGGTCCACTGAGGGCGCTGGTCGGGTCCGCGGCCTGCCTGGTAGGAAGGCCCGCTGAAGACCGACTGTAGGCACAGCTGCCCTGGGCATACGGCCTCTTAGAGGAGCTGTGCTTTGCGAGTGTGTAAAGGGGAGGAGAGCTGTGCTGACTGACCCAGGAAAGGGACTGTGTGACAGGAAGAAAAAACGGAGGATCCACGTAGATGCTGGCAAAGGTGAGAGCCGCCCCACCGTGCCTTGGGCACAGCCCTCGCACCCACGCGCCCACTCCTCCAGTTGGCTGCTCACAGGCCCCGTTCCCCATCTGCAGCCACTCCTTATACCTTTCAAGATGGTTTTAATTTTTAATTAATTTTAGACTCACAGAAAAGTACAAAAATAATAGTTTCCTTACATCCCTTACCCAGCTTCCCCGAATGGTAACATCTTTCATAACGAGAGTGCGAGAGTCAAAACTAGAAAATTAGCACCGGGGCAGTGCTATCCACTAATTAAAGGCCGCGTTTGGGTTTCACCAGTTTTCCCACCAATGCCCGCAGTGGGGCGTTCCAGCTTCTGCCCCCGACCGCACACTGCGTCTCGTCGCTCTTTTAACTTATGTCCCCTGCAATCTGCAGCAACAGCCCTTCACCATTTCCTCGCCTTTTATGACCTTGACGCCTAAGAGGAGCGCGGATCAGTTAATTGTTGAATGTCCCTCTGTTTGGTTTTGCCTGTCCATTTTGGGGCAAGACTACCACAGAACCGAGGCTGTGCCATTCTCTGTTGACCCTGCCATGGGGGTTGTGGTCTCGGCATGAATATCATGACTGGTGATGTTCCTAATGCCCTTTGGGGCTTCAGCCCCTTTGCCCCTTTCCACTTATAAGAAAGAAGTGGTGTATGGTTTCGCCAGGTTTTATTTGAATTAAAATATTAAGAAAGGCAAAAAAAAAAAAAAAGAGAAGAGAGTTCTAAGAGTAGAAAAGTATATGCGTTAGCCCTCTGGAATGCCCTTTGTGTATATTCTTAAGATTGTGATCTTAATACTAATTGGAGAGACACTTCATGTAATTATGTACAAATGAAAGCACTTCATTGTTTAAGTGCCTGTCTCTGTTTATCATGTCCTGGAAGTTCCAAAGCAACGCGCTGCTCTTTCTGCTAAGAGATGAGCTTCAAGGAGCCAGCCAAACCTCAGAATAACCAAAACTTCTGTGTTTTGTTTTTTTTTACTTAGGTTAATTTCTTAAAACTACCCCCTTCTTTTAACTTTGATGAATTTTTCGCAAAGTGTATGACTTTCATGAATTATTATCCTACTGGTGACCACAAAAGTAAGTACCCTCCATGGACAAGAGCCTCTGCCTTGACCAGTGGTCAGGAGGCTGTTAACCAACGCCAAGGGCCCCATCCCCCCCGCTGGCTTCCTCAGTGCAGCGCCCAGTCCTGAGCAGCACACAAAGGGGACCTCCTGCCCGTCCTCGGGTTCCTGCCTCTCCTCAGGCAATGACTCCCTTCCCCCATCTTCCAAACATGTACATCTCCCTCACAGTGAAAGAAAAAACGAAACCATCTACGAACCCTCCTTTCCTAATCTTCTCCACCAAACTTCTCACAAGACTAACTTCACATCCATGTCTCTCTTCTCTCCAGCCCCTCATTCATTTATTCACCCAGAAGATACTGTTTGCAGGCACCTAAGGGGCATGTGCTCACCTATTCTTCAATCTTGAGCTCCTGACATCTAGCTTCTCTCTCTCTCTTATTTTAATCTTCACCCGAGGATATTTTTCCTATTGCTTTTCAGAGAGAGTGGAAGAGGGGGAGAGAGAGAAACATCAATGTGAGAGAGACACATCGATTGGTTGCCTCCCGCCTGCACCCCAGCTGGGGCTGGGGTCGAGCCTGCAAACCAGGCGCGTGCTCTTAGCTGGAGTCGAACCCAGGACCCTTCAGTCCACGGGCCGACATTCTAACCACGGAGCAAAACCAGCCAGGGCGACATCTAGCTTCTTTTCCCTTTCTCCTTCCATCTACTGAAACTATTTTTGTCAAGGCCACTAACAACCATCAACTTGCCAGTCTAAGTGGCCTCTCCTCCGGCCTCATCCTAGGCGGCTGGCCTTAGATTACTCTTTTTCTGGACACTGTCTTCGCCTCTTTCTTTGCGTTCAAGAATATTCTTCTCGAGTTTTGCTTTTACCCCTCAAGGCCCCGTTCTCAGTGCCCTTTGCTAAGTGTCCTTCTAATCCTTAAATGTTGGCGATTCCAGGGTCTGTCCTTGACCCGCTAGTCTTCCCTGCTCACCTTGGAGAACATTCATCTCTGCTTGACTCCCTCTGACTCCCAGCAGGGCCGGCACTAGGGTAAGGAAAGCAGAAGTCTGGGGCACAAAATCTGAGGGCACCCTCCTCTCAGGGTCCTGTGAGCTTGCTTCACACACGTCCCAGCCCGACCTGCCAGAATCCAGCCCAGACCTGTGTCCTGATACAGCAGCTGCCTATGGGCCGTCCCCATTGGATGTCCAACAGGCACTTCCAACATTAACATGTTAAAAAGAGATTAAAGAAGATAATTTAGGTGACACAAACAAACTTTAACATAAAGTGGACAGTTTATTTAACATAACATGGACAGTTCCTTTCCAAAGAACTGCAAAATGGGGCGAAGTCAGGAAGCTTTACTGGGGTAGAGAATAAAGAACAGGAACAGACAGATCAAGAAGGTCTGATTGGCTGGGACCACGTATTAGACCTTGTTTAGGGTGAGAAGGCCCAGAGGTGGCTTGGCATTTGGGGATTGGCTGTCTGGACAGACTGTTTCTGCAGGGAAAGAACGTCCTCTAAGTTTCGCTTTGCTCACGTGGCAGCCAGGGCAGTGGGAGACTTGTCTACGCTCACACAGTGAGTTGCTATCAGACCCGGGATGAGAGTGCAGTCTCCTGAAATTTACTCCTGCTGTTCGTTCAACCCTTTCATCTCCTTCACTCTCACCATTGTCCGTTGTCATGATCCCCTCATCTGTCCATTCCCTTCACCTGCGGCAATAATTTTAGCTCAAGTCGGGATGTAAAAATCTCCCCAAGTTCCAAAGTGTGATGATAATTAGAATAGGGCTTTGAGCTACATGCAATTGAATTTTGGGAAACTCACAACCTCTAAGAACTTTCCCTTGGCCCTATTTAACCACTAGGTATCCCAGAGTCCCCTGACTGACCTGTGATGACCACTGCCCAAGGGAATGGGGACTGGGAGGCTCCCCTCTCCATCGCTGCAGAGCCAGGCCTCTCCTTCTGAGCCCGCCCCCTCCTCTGCTCCCTTAGACCTCCTGAGGCTTGCGTGCATGCTGGAGTCCGACTCCGACCTGGAGTTTTCCCTACAAAAGTATGTGATGGGAAGCATATCAAAGCAGGTACTTTCATCATTTAATTTATTGTTTTGGGGATTGTTGGGTATCTTGGACAGCTGGAAAGATCAAGAAATCCTGTAGCTAGTAATCTGTTCCATTGAAATAAGAGGTGGACTGACCTCCATGCACAGCAGAAGGGTTCGAAAGCTCAAGTCCTCAGGCTAGTTAAGGTAAAATAGAGTCTATTCCTCATGTGTCGGCCCATTCCAATTTAAGGCATTTTGCTAGCTTGGCTGTGGCAACTCCATTTTGTTTCTTCCCTCGTTCCCGAGGGGGCCGAAAGGAGGCAAAAGGCAAGCCTTCCCCCTTTCCCGAGGCCGGCCCCTGGCCCTGAAGCACAGAGAGCCTTAGAGGTACTTGGTTGCATTTTTCAAACCAAAACCCACGACACATGGTGTGGTAAAATAATGTTTACTCATTCAATCAATTTGTTCAATAGAGTTTAATATTTAATAATTAATATCCATGTATTTAATATTAACTATAATAAATTTATTTGAAAAACCATCACATTGGCTAGTTAGAAATAATTAAATTGTCGTTTAGGAAAATAATAAAATTACATGGAAGCAGGACCACCCCAGCCAGTTAGGAAGCATGGCTGCAGGGCTCCCCATGCACAATTCCCTCTTTCACCTGCAAGATGTGTCTCTATGGTCCATGGACAATTTCACACTTTTGTGCTATTCGAGGGAGAAAAAAATGCAATGGCTTTACTCCATTGGTTTGCTGTGCACTTAATCAACACAATTCCAGGGTGATGATAGGCAGGGACACCGTGGGAACACGTCCTTGGTGAGGAGAGGGGAGCTGAGAGAGAGGTGCCACCGCAGGGAGGCAAGGTGTGGCAGGTGGAACGTCGGGCTAGGAGCCTGGAGATCTGGAAGGTACCAGGCTCTGAAAATATAAGGTCAAATCACATAGTATGTTGTTTTTTATTTCTCACCAGAGAATATTTTTTCCATTGCTTTTCAGAGAGAGAGAGTCCCCGGGGAGGGGGAGAGAGAGAGAGACACATCGACTGGTCGCCTCCTGACTGGGACTGGAGACCTGGCCTGCAACTGAGGTACATGCCCTTGGCCAGAATTGAACCCAGGACCCTTCAGTCCTCAGGCTGACACTCTCACCACCGAGCCAAACAGGCTCTGGCCATAGTATGCTGTTCTTCTCCCGAAACTGCAAGAGAGCAGAAGGAATGGTAGTTCTCTCTTATGGGAGTGGCTCATATTGGCGTGAGGGAGCAGCAGGGGGGACAAGGGAGTGGTGGCTTTCCAAAAATTAGCAAATGCATGAGTTCCCATTACAAGAGATTTTGCTAGTGAATTCATTTCCATCTGCTTGACTGTGCCTCACACATTCTAATGGCCTCACAGCTTCCCCAGAGAATCTCAGCAGGCTAGTTCCCACCCAGTGATCATTCTGGTGCTGATGTGGGGAGGAAGGATCCACAGCCAAGGATAGGTGCTAAGGAAAGTGTCTCCTTACTCGGCAGATTGATGACAAACAGCTTCGGGGTTACTTGTCTGAGCTCCGCCCAGTGACCATTGTGTTTGTGAACCTGGCCTTTAAGGATCAAGAGAAAGCCGAGATCATAGGCTCAGCCATCCAGGACGCCTCTGTGCACATCAATGCTGTCATGAGGGACTTCCGAGGCCAAATCAATAAAGTCTTCATGTTTGACAAGGTAAGTGTGAACTAAGGGGTGGGAAGCTGCCGACAAGTTAAGGTGAGCACCGGTGCCCGGGCACATTGATGAGGGGAAGGGAACAGACACGTTTAACCTGGAAGCATCCGTCTTCATTTACACTGGATACAGCGGTTTCTGTGGTGGATATGGCATTACCACGGCCAGGCAATGTTCTCAACGTTTTGCCTCTATGAGCTCATTTCATCCTCATGACCATTCTGAGAGGTAGGTCCTCTTATACTATCCCCATTTTACAGATGAGGCTATTGAGGCAGAGGTGAGGCCACTGAGGCAAGGAAAGATTAGGTTTGGCTCCCGGTCATCCAGCTAGTGAGCGGTGGGCTGGGACCCAGTCTGTGCTTGACCAGCTCCCATTGTATGTGCATCCAGCCCAGCACAGTGCCCCTCCCAGAGATTCGGGGTCAGGTGTTCTGTGACTTGCACGCCCAGAAGCCTGTTGCACGTAATGCCCGCCTGCCATGTCTGCACTCCCAGCCGGTCAGTTCCGTCAGCGGTGGGGCAGCGGAGAGGAGCCAGTCACACGCACTGCCACACAGCCAGGCAGAAAGAAGCGACCCTGCGTGAGGAAGGTGAGCCTGGCGCTGCGGGAGCTCGGGGCAGCTGTGGCCCCAGCTGCCGCGCCCCAGGGCTGCCTCCAGGTTCATCCCGCGGCTCCTGGGACAGCGCAGAACCCGAGCTCAGCCTCTAGTGCTTGCAGGCGCGGCTCCAACGATCCCTGGACTTCTCTGAGCCCTGGATTGTTCATGATTAGTGGTAGGGATATTATTGGAATGGAGAGAGTATTTGCCTCAAGGGATTGTTCCAAGTTTTGAAAAATGTGTGGAGCACTCGTAGCACTGCTCTGCTCGGCAAGTGGCCAGTCTCACAGCCAGAGCAGGCCCAGGCTCACCTGGCTGAGCACTAGGCAAGATTTCCGGGCAGGGCAGGGCGGGGCCCTGGGGTCCCCAAACGGAACCCTCTAGTCCCTACACAGACCTGGAGTCAGAGCCCTGACCTGCTTACATATATAACATTAACTTGACACTTTCTATATACGTATACTATAAAGTATATATGCTATATAAAAGTATGTAGTATGTAGTGTACTATATATACTATATTAAATATATGTATGCCAAAGTAATTTACAAAGTGTGTGTTAATTGTATGTATTACTTACATATAACATTACAATGAATGTTTTAAATATTTGACAATAATCGTTTTAGTAGCCGAAGCAACCTCTGCAGGTCAGTGTTACATCTGTTTTCAGACTGCTAACTGCAGTTCATGGAAGGTAGTTGACTTGTCCAAGTTTCTGCGCAGATATTCTGACTGGAGCTGGTGCCTCTCCGCTGCTCTGTGTTGTTTATGAGACTTGCAGCATATGACCTTGGCCACCGAGAGATGAGATGGGAGCCTGCCCACAAGTAGCTCAGTACAGTCCCTTATCTCTACAGCAAAAGCAACCCTTCTTGGGCTCAAGTCATACTGTAGATGCTGTACTAGAAGTTATACGAAGTTTACTAAAAATAAAATAGGTCTGAGAGAAATCATGATGAAATCTGATTCAGAAAGTGAACATTGCTGCCCACCTCCCCTGGGCCTCCAGCAGGTTGACTTGTAAGCTCCCAGCCCTCCAGCTGTGTTTGCTGACTCTCCCTCGCAGGGCTGCTCCTTCCTCTGTGTCTTTGGTTTCCCCGGGGAAAAGGCACCTGATGAGGTCACTCATGCCTTGGAAAGTGCTGTGGATATATTCGACTTCTGCTGTCAGGTCCAGAAAATCCAGTGAGTGTCCACCCTGGTCCCATCCGCTGGTCCCCAACCCTTCTGTGGGATACGGGAGACAGGGCAAGGGTCAGGAAAGCAGGCGAGGGCTGTTCTTGACTGGATGCCCATCCACCTGCATTCTTTCTTCACCTAACACATCAGTAGAGTGGGCAAAGCCCAGCCCTGCCTCTGTGGGACAGGGGATGGTAAAGACAAGGTAGAAAAAGGACACCCCTCCAAAGCCAACCTGTGCCAGGTTTGCAGGAGAATCCGACTGGGTGTCTTTCTCTACTTCTGTCTTGCTTCTTGGTAGAGGTCAAACTCCCAACACCAAGTTGGAGCCCTGAGTTGATTAATAACTGGGAGATAAAATGAGTCCTTGGCTTAGAAATGTATAGAATGACCTAGCCTCAAGCAAAGCTGTTAAGGTGAGGTTTACTCTCCCCAGATCTGGCTGTCCCTGAGCCCAGTGCCCTCAGGCTTCCCCAGCCTGAGCACCCCAGGGACTCTGACTCGTGGCCCTCTCCCTTCAACTCCAACAGACCACCCTCTGCCCTAAATATTTCCACCGCCTCAGCCCCTAGTCATCTATACATGCAGATGGATATATTAGCAAAATCAGATTTGATGCCACACACCGTGTCTGAGTTACATGACTTGCTCTTTCCAGCAATAACAGGGAAAGTTAGGTTGTTTACAACTAGCCCACTCTGGGTGATGATAACTTATTTTCCAGAAAAGTAACTCAGACGAATACTCAAAAGTAGCAGAAAAGTGAGCTGAGTTACCACTTCTAAGGACCTAATTCTGGGCCCCTAAGTCTTCACACCGCCAGGCCACATACAATTGCCCTGAATTACGTCCACAGGGGAGAGAGTAACTGATTGAAAATCCTTTCCCGCCCATCCCACCCCATTCATCACCACGTCCCCTCTCACTTTCTGTCCGCTCACTGTCTTTATCTCTTTCCCCCCAACCCTCTTCTCCCCGGCGCCAGCACCGTCTCCATCGGCGTGGCCAGCGGGACTGTCTTCTGTGGGATCGTCGGACACTCTGTGAGACATGAGTACACAGGTGTGCTGAGCTAGCTTAGCGCCGCCTCGCTGTCACTGTGCCTTGCCGCCGGGCTTTGCGGGAGGAAGGACAAAAAGAATGGAGACATGGGCCCTGCCCTCAGCCAGCTTGCCGGCTCCCAGACGGAGCCAAGCTGCGTGGCTTTGCCCCTGGCAGCTGGGTGCCGCACAGCGTGCGTTCTGGGGCTGTGCGGAAGGCGTAGGTAGTGGGGAGAGAGCAGGGGGAGCTGTGAGCTCCTGGAGGGAGGGGTCTTTCTAAATAATTTCCTGCTGACATTCAACAGTTACTCTTCTTAGTGCCTGGAAGAGATGAGGACTGCTTCTTAAAAATTATGACATGGCATTACTGATAAATAATCTTAATCTCAAAAGAGAATAGTAAGTAGGGGTTATCTCAAGATTTCACGGCTCTTGATGTTATTTCCCTCTCAGTCCAAGTAGGGTTTCAGATGCTCAGAAACAAGACGTCTAAAATACTGAAATAGTTATGTTGGAAATGATGCAATTTCTGAGAGTTCCTTCAAAATACTACAGGGTGGAGAGTGGCTGGGAGTGAGGCTGGGGCAGGGTTGGCAGTGGGATGCTGGCTTTGGGACTGGGTGATGGGTACATGAAGATTCATGAGACTATGTCTTATTGTATGGCCAAATTTCTCCGTAATAAACAGTTTTTTAAAAAGGAATACCTTGATCAGAAGAATTTAAGTTTGTGTTACAGTGCAGCCTCAACTGCCTAATTAGTAGCATTATTACTTGAGGGCTTATTAGCAGTCAGGCTCTGTTCAAAGTGATGAATGTGTGTTAACTTATTAATCTTCATAAACTACCCTCTGAGATAGGTACTATTATCCCCATTTTACAGATTAGGATACTGAGGCATGGAAGAGTTAAAGTCATTTGGTAACATACCAGTTGGAGGTAGAGCTGAGGTTCAGAGTCTGTGCACTACAGTGCATTACCCCTTAAAGTAGCCCCTAAATCCATCCTACTTCTCACCCTTAACGATTCACCAAATGAAGGTGATTCATTTCTAAAGTGAAATGAAATGTAAAAGTTCATGCCCAGAAACATACGAACAGAAGAATTTAAGAACATAAATTTGTGCCTCCTTTGGAGGTCAGTGTCCCAGGCCTGAGCTTGTACTTGTCCATCTAGTAGCCAAAGACCAGCCACACCTCGCCTGAGACCCCGCAGGCCTATGGTGAGCCCACACACAGAACTCCTCCACACACAGGCCCTTCTGTCTCCAAGCAGATTGTCCCCATGCCTCCCACTGAGGCCGAAACGTTGCTAGTGGCTAACTGAGCTCACTGTCTGCATATTTTTAATAGCCATTGGAGGACTATGGGTAGTTGAAGGTGAGTTTGCTGTCATTCACCAGAGGCAAAGGGAGTAAAGGGTTAAAGCGCCACCTGGGACAGGGTCTCTCAGATTACACTCAGTTCCTTGGCAGTTTCTCTCTGCTCTTCACCTTCTCTTTGGTGTTGCAGTCATTGGCCAGAAAGTGAACATAGCTGCCCGGATGATGATGTACTACCCTGGAATCGTGACCTGCGACTCCGTCACCTACAACGGCAGCAACCTACCGGCCTACTTTTTCAAAGAGCTTCCGAAGAAAGCCATGAAAGGTGTTGCAGATTCTGGACCAGTCTATCAGTGTTTGGGCCTTAACGAGAAAGTGTGAGTGCAGGGGCGGACTTTGCAGTAATCTGTAGTAAAGAAGGGGGAGAATTATGACAGCAAAACAGTCACCCATTTCAGGTTTGAATCCAATTTATGAAACTGATATTTATTGCTTCCTTGGACGAAGGCCCAGATTTCAAAATCCTTCGTCTTTCTCCATCCTACTGATATGGTGGAAGACCCGTCTACCCTGGTTCTGAGACTCCGAGGGTGATTCTTCAAAGGTTGTGCAGACAGAACGGGGAACCCCACCTTTACGTATCTCAGTGAACCAAGGTGGACTGACCATTAAATATGTATTATTTATCATACCAACTTTGCACCAGCATTGGCAGGGCTAATAGAGTATAAGATACTGTTCTTCCTCTAGGCCTCTACTGACATAGATTCCCCCAAAGCCCAGCTTAGATGCAGGGCTGTCACTTTGGGGCTTAAAAGCCCTCAATGGCTTCCAGTCATTTTCATGATGGTGTTTCAGTTCCTTGCAATGACATACAAAGTAACCACCTGCCTTTCCAACCTCACCTCCTCCTGGGTGTCTAAGTAGATTGTCCTCCCCATCACCCACCCCATCCCTCGTCCACTGGGAAAACCAGTCAACCTTTGATATGCAGCTCAGGGTTTGTTCCTCTGTGGGGCTGGCTCTGGAATACCCCGTGGCAGCTCAGCCAGAGCAGCTCTTTCCTCCTCACGTAACCAACTCTACAGCCCATGCTTCTCTGAGAGCCCTCATCACACTCATCACAACTGCCTGCCTGCTGCCTTTCGAGCTCTCTGATTATTGCTGTTCATTCTTGTATCCCCGGCGCTTGGCGCTCAGCAGGCACTCAGCAGTGATGATGAATGAATGACTCGCACGGGAAGTGCATGTGTATTACTCTTTGTATTAATCAGCCAGCTGGAATCCAGGCCTTAGGGACCAGGGAACAGAATTGGGGCTGCAGTAGGTCCAAGGAGTCTTTTTCACTCACTTGTGTATCCCCAGGGCTCAGCACTGTACTTGGCATGTGTAGACCATCAATAAAACGCTGTTTGAATAAGTGAATGAATAGTAATAATTTTTTGTGAGCCCTTATTAAATATTAGGCACTTTATCTCAAAATATATAATGCATTCTTTTTTTTTTTTGTTAATCCTCACCTGAGGATATTTTTTCCATTGATTTTTTAGAGAGAGTGGGAGGGAGGCAGAGAGAGAGAGAGAGAGAGAGATTGATGTGAGAGAGACACATCAATTGGTTGCCTCCTGCATGTACCCCAACTGGGGCCAGGGATTGAACCTGTAACCCAGGTATGTACCCTTGACCAGGAATGGAACCTATGACCCTTCAGTGCGTGGGCTGATGCTCTACCCACTTAGCCACGCCAGCCAGGGCTATAATGTATTCTTAGTACAACCATATCAGGTGGAAACTATTATTATCTCCATTTTATAAATTTAAAAACTGAGACTCAAAGATGTTAAATGACTTGTCCATGGTCATAAATCTAGTAGGCAGTGGAGACAAGGCTCAGAATACCATAACAATGCTGCATCATTAGCAACCACGAAAGATCAGTAGTTATAGTGAACACTTACTTACCTCGCAAAGAAGTGGCTTCAACTGATCTTGGCTGATTCGACTGATGTAGCCTCAGCTCATGCACATGCCTGGGGTTCAGCAGATTGTTGGCTGACCCAGGAGGACCCCAGGTTGGGTAGCTGGGCGTTTGATTGGCATAAATGGGATGATTTGGCTCTAGGTGTCTCATCCTCCATCAGGCATGTCGTCCAGGCCAAATCAGAAGAGCAGGAGAGAGCAAGCCCAAGGCACAAGCATTTTCCAAGCCTCAGTGTCGTGTGCACTAGCATCTCATTGGCCGAAGCATTCACACGGCCGAGCCCAGAGCAGGAGGGCAGCTACAAGTTACCTAGCAAAGGGCACAGACACAAGTAGAGGTCAACCTGCCACAAACCCAGCCTGCCTGATCTCAAAGCCTGCCCTCTTCGCGGTTTTCCTCTACCATCTCTGCAAACAGAGAGTGTAGAAATACAGACACAAATATGAACGGCCCGGTTCCCGCCCTGAAAGCTCAGTCTAACAGGGAAGACCCACACATACAAAGTTAGCTGTATGTTACACGGGAGATTTGCTGCGTGCTATGCCAGGAGAAGACAGGCAGTGTGACAGTACAGACCCGGGAATGAGCAATTTCACCAAAAGGGCTCCTTCAAGAGGCAATATGCAGGAGGTTAAGGATGGCGGCAGACTGAGTGGAAGCTACACTGACACTCTCTCAGGACCAAACTGGAACTACAATTAAAATACAGAAAAACCATCCCGAATAATCAACTGCAACTGAAGATGAGCTGGGGAGCACCCTCATAGCCAAGGAGGAAAAGTGGAGACCACATAGAGACTGGTAGGAAGTGCAGAGGTGAGAGAGGGCCGGCTGGGCTCCCACAGGCAGCAGCTGAAGGTCCAGAGGGAGATCTCAGCTGGGGTGGGGGGTGGAGGTTCCCACTGAGGACTCTGGGGTCTAAATCCCAAGCTTAGCTTCCCAGCCCAGAGCACCAGAACTGAGAAAGGTGCCCACAAAACATCTGACTGTGAAAAGCAGCTGGGTTTCTGTCTGCCAGGGAGAGGTGGCTGGAAATGCAGGCACCCTCTTAAAGGGCCAACACACAAAGTTTCGTGTACAGCCACTCACCTTGGGCTCCGGCGGGGGGAGGGCAGAGTGGACTGGAGCTGTGTGAGGAGAACCTAGGGTTGTGGGCTCTGGAGAATGAGATCAGAGGGCACCCATCTGGATTCCTGTGCCGAGTCATTCCCCCATACTGCAGAGGACATCTTTCTCAGGCAGACATTTACCTTCCAAGCAGCTTTTGCCTGAGGGGGAAGCAATTGCCCCACCCTTCTGGAAAACCTCTCCCCCTACCCAGTGGAGTTTCTACAACCTGAGGCTCATTAAGAGAATCAGATTAATTAGCCTGCAGGCAGAGGCAGACCTCAGAGTGCTTTGAGTCTTTGCCTGATCTGCTTCTGGACTTGGGCCTTAGAAAAGCAGACTTTCGTGTGCATCTTGGTCCTGTCCAAATGCACCCAGCCCCAACAAAGGGCACCTCAAGCTTTGGGTTGTTTATAGCTCCAAACAGGGGACTCAAAGCCCATCACAAACAGCATCTGACATTGGTCTGCACGAGAGAACTTCCAAAAAGACTGAGAGCCCTAGCAGGCCTACCTAACACATAGAAACAAACCCAAACAGGCAGCCAAAATAGGGAGACAAAAAAGCAAGCCCCAAATGAAAGAACAAGAGAGGTCTCCAGAAAAAGAGCTAAAAGAAATGGAGATATGCAATCTATCAGATATAGAGTTCAAAATACTGATTGTAAGGATGTTCAACAGCATGAAAAAAGATATGGAGACTATGAAAAATGACCGGTCAGAAATGAAGAATGACATAGCAGAAATAAAGAATACATTGGAAGGAATAAACAATAGATTAGAGGAAGCTGAAGATTGGATCAGTGAATTAGAAGACAGGGTAGAAAAAATCACTCAATCAGAGATCCAAAAAGAAGAAAACAATTAAAAAACAGGAGGACAGTCTAAGGAAGCTGTGGGACAACATGAAACATAACAATATTGCATCATAGGAGTGCCAGAAGAGGTAAGCAAGGGTTAGAGAATGTGTTTGAAGGAATAATGGCAGAAAACTCCCCTAACATGGTGAAGAAAAAAGTCACACAAGTTCAGAAGGCACAGAGAGTCCCAAGCAAGAAGAATCCAGAGGCCCACACCCAGAAACATCATAATTAAGATGCCAAAAATTCAACACAAAGAGAGAATCTTAAAGGCAGCTAAGAAAAGCAATCTGTTACCTACAAAGGAGCTCCCATAAGGCTGTCAGTTGACTTCTCATTAGAAACTTTACAGGCCAGAAGGGAATGACATGAAATGTTCAAGGTAATGCAAAGCAAGGACCTGAAGCCAAGACTACTCTATCCAGCAAGGCTATCATTCAAAATAGATGGTGAAATAAAGAGCTTCCCAGACCAAAAAAAAAAAAAAAAAGGCTAAAGTAGTTTATCACCACCAAACCAGCATTGCAACAAATGTTAAGGGGACTGCTGTAATAATAAGAAGAAATAGAGAGAGAAACATAGGCATAACGAATTAAAATGCCAATAAATAAGGACCTAACAATAATAACCTTAAGGACTTTAAGGAGAGATCAACAGCAATACAGTCATAGTTGTGGACTTTAACACCCCACTGACTTCACTGGATAGATCTTCCAGGCAAAAAGATAGCACAGAAACAGTGACTCTAAATGGCACACTGGATCAGATGGGTTTAATTGATATTTACAGAACATGTCACCCCAAAGCTGCAGAATATACATTCCTCTCAAGTGCACGTGGGTCATTCTCAAAGATAGACCACATGTTAGGACACAAAACTAGTTTCTAAAAGTTCAAGAAGAAATTAGAAATCAACTACAGTAAAAACATTCAAAAACATTCAAACACATGGAGGCTAAATAGCATGTTATTAAACAATGAATGGGTTACCAATAAGATCAAGAAAGAAATCAAAAACTTCCTGGAAACAAATGAAAATGAACACACAACAACCCAAAATCTATGGGACACAGCGAAAGCAATCCTGAGAGGGAAGTTCATAGCACTGCAGGCCTACCTCAAAAAGCAAGAAAAATTTTTAGTGAACTATGTAACCCTACGACCTAAAGAATTAGAAAGCTCTCCTAGGAGGCTGCCCAGACCAGGGCTTTTGTTTGCTGGGAGTATTTTTTGCTACTGCTTCAGTTTCATCAGTTATTAGCCTATTCAGGTTTTCTGATTCTTCCTGATTCAGTTTTATATGATCTCACTCATATGTGGAATCTAATAAACAAAAAGACTGATGAACAAAACAGGTCCAGAGACATAGAAGCATAGACCAGACTGGTGAATCTCAGTAGGAAGGTGGGGGTGGGGGAGTGGGTGGGGAGAGATTAATCAAAGAACTTATATGCATATATGCATGACCCCTGGACACAGACAATAGTGTGGTAAAGACCTGGGCTGGGGGTGGATGTGGGTTGGAGGGGACCAATGGGGAAAAAAGGGGGAGATATCTGTAATACTTTCAACAATAAAGATAAACTAAAAAAAATAAGAGGTAATATGCAGTGGTTGGGCATATATGCACCCTGGCCTAGTCACCACCAGACACCGGATCTTGGACAAGATAAACTCTCTGCGTCTCAATTTCCTCACTTGTAAAATGGACATAATAATAGTATCTTCATAATTAGGTTTGGTCAGGAGTAAAGAAAGTGATACATGTAAGGTACTGGAAACTGTGCTGGGCACATAGAATGTGCTCCACAAAGGTGAGCAGGGATGGTTTGAGCACATGGTGGACTCTTCCCAGGATGGGGGACAATATGCCACATCCTAGTTGATTGGGTCCCATATTGGGTGCCTGGTTCCCTGGAAAGGGGTCAGTTCTGCCGATGCAGAGTCAACCAGCACTTACTGAACAATGTCCCAGGCGCTGAGGAGAAGGCAGCTACGTAAGTCGTTTGGACTCTCTCTTACCAGGTAAAAGCGCCTCCCATCTCCTCTCCGTACCTGCAGCCCGTGAGTGGGGGAGACTCCTGCTGGAGGCTGGAAGGGAGGCTCCCTGGGACCCGAGAGCCAGCCCCGAGCTCTCCGCAGCGCCCGGCTTTGACTCTAACCTCTCTTTTCTTCCCTTCAGCATGTTTGGTATGGCCTACCTCATCTGCAACAGAAGTGAGGCTTACCCTTTGCTGGGTAGGTAGTGGGCCTTGGTTTTTAAACTCCTCTGTTGAACTCTAACACAACATACAGAACAGGACGCCAATGATAAGGCTGCAGCCTTCACGAATTATCACCAGTGAACCTATGCTCCCCATCCAGGCCACCAAACAGAAAAAGAGCAGTGTCGGGGCACCCCACGTGCTTGACCTCTCCCTTCCTCCACAGACCGTGACACCCTCCTTTTCTTAGGCCATTTTGAAAATGCACATCACTGAAACGATGCATCATATATCACACACGGCTTCTGTTAATCAAGAGCAAGGCCGGGCCTTCCGCAGGGAGCTGGCCAGAAAGGGAGGTTTGGCCCCAAATGAGTCTTCAGCTCTTTTGACAGAATTTGCTCACTCCCTTGAAATTTCAATCCTGCCTGTCCCTTCCCATCCAGGCTTCAAACATTGTGCCAACTTTCAGATTTTAACCTGGGCCTCCAGCTACATGCATTAAAAAACATGCAACATAATAGTGCTGGGGTTGCAGCCCACGCTGACTTTCATTGTTTTCCGTATTCTCCAGTGAGCATGTTTACATTTATTATAATAAAAAAATACAATTTCTTTTTACTAAAAATTTAGGTTGCTTTTATGATAGGAGTAACACTACATGGTTTTTTAAAGGAAGTTGAATTTTCTTATCACTGATAATGCTTCTAGTAACCCTGAGATAAGTATAATTTCTCATTCACAGAGAGCAAGTTTCTTTCCAGAACTGGAAATAAATATTGGAAATGAAATATTCCATCCATAATTATTCAATATGGGAACCCTAACTATAATAAATGTATTTGCTAGTGTAATGATCTATAGATGACTTCCACTGTGTTATAGAAAAAGGAAAGGAAAGGAAAGGAAAGGAAAGGAAAGGAAAGGAAAGGAAAGGAAAGGAAAGGAAAGGAAAGGAAAGGAAAGGAAAGGAAAGGAAAGGAAAGGAAAGGAAAGGAAAGGAAAGGAAAGGAAAGGAAAGGAAAGGAAAGGAAAGGAAAGGAAAGGAAAGGAAAGGAAAGGAAAGGAAAGGAAAGGAAAGGAAAGGAAAGGAAAGGAAAGGAAAGGAAAGGAAAGGAAAGGAAAGGAAAGGAAAGGAAAGGAAAGGAAAGGAAAGGAAAGGAAAGGAAAGGAAAGGAAAGGAAAGGAAAGGAAAGGAAAGGAAAGAAGAATTGGAGTCAGCTAGCCCTGGTTTCATTCCTGGCTGTGTGGTCCCGCAAACCTCACTGTTCTGCACTAAAAGTAAATGGACATTCTAATGCGCATTATAAGAGTCACATATGTAATGCACATTATATTGGGAATTACATACAACTGGAAAGCTCTAGAAAAAGATGTTAAAACATTTCAACATGCACAGGACCTCACGATAGTCCATGAACGATGTCATGAAAATTCCAAAGGTCTTCTTAAGTGTCATATCACTATGTGCTTTCTTATGTCTCTAGACTATTTTATGTTGACTGGGTTTGCTCCCTTTTTTAAAAATGAAAATGACAGGGCGAGAAAAGGAGCTGAAATACTTCAGGTGCACTATGAGGGAATTTCTGATGTCCAACTGCAGCCGAGTCCTCATGTATGAAGGATTGTCAGGCTACGGAAAAAGCCAGATACTCATGGAAATTGAGTACCTGTCCCAAGGTGAGAACCACAGGTGAGTGTCTGACAATGACCATTTATTTCTTGTCAACCAGAGAATCTTGATGTCCTTAAAAGTTTCATCTATTTTAATGCTCCTCTCCTTTGTATAATTTGCCTCATGTAAACTACACACAGCCTATCCATTACGGGGTGCCATGCGCCTTGTGCTAAATAAATAATTAATGATAAACATATCGAACCAAGACAATGAGAAGCCGGGCTGACCCTGGAGACCCTGATTTAATGCCAGGTGGGGCGTGGATATCAATTTGTTAAAGCTTCCTGAGCAACCCCAGTGTGCAGACAGGCTGAGAACAGCTGGCAAGAGGTGGAAACCAAGACTCAGTTGGGTGTGCAGAACGGGCACATCAACTTATCCTGCCAGCTGACAGCCACTGGTTCACACCATTCAGCCCTGTCTGAGCGGGATTGGCAATGGCAGGCTCTGCGTTTCCTTTAGAAGGCAAAGCTGGTGTACTTACCGCACGCTGCTTGTTTGCTTTCAGAGTGTGAATGTCGAGAGGGCCCTCTGTGGGGCGACCCTTCTAGCACCCTCACTGTGGTCAGCATGGTATCAACCACATGACGGCGACAAGGAGCTGATGCTGATGCTGACGCTGACTCTGATGCCTCACAGGCTTCCACCCCTAACCCGAAATCTTTATGGGGAAAATGCTTATTAGCCTGATATTATTTTTAGCTGTATTTCTACTCTTTTTTTATAATCCTCACCCAAGGGGTGAGGATATTATTTGCCATTGATTTTAGAGAAAGTGGAAGGGTGGGGGACAGGGAGAGAGTGGGGAGAGGGAGAGAAACATCGATGTGACAGACACATTAATGGGTTGTCTCCTGCATGTGTCCGACCGGGGACAGGGGGTCACACCTACAACCCAGGTGCTCGCCCTTGACCGGGAACTGAGCCTGAGACCCTCCAGTGCGCAGGCCAGTGCTCCAACCACTGAACCACAGTGGCGAGGGCCATTTCTACTCTTTTTTAATGTCAGACCTGAGAGAGGCCAGTTTTAGAATATCTTTAACATTGTTAAGGAGATAATTCATAACACCAGAAGACATTCATTCATTCCATCACTTACTGAATTACTACTATGTTCCAGGAACTGTTAAGTGCTGTATCCATATGCTAGAGCTGCTATAACAAATAGTTTGTTACAAACTGGGTGGCTTCATCAGCAGAAATTTATCATCTCTGATTACCGGAAGCCAGAGTCTGAGAGCAAGGTGTTGGCAGGGTTGGTTCCTTCTGAGAGCTGTGAGGGACAACCTGCCTGTACCTCTCCCCTGGCTTCTGGTGCAATTATTTCTGTTGCTTGGCTTATCGAAACATCACTCCAACCTCTGCCTTCATCTTTGCATGATATTCAACCTGTCCGCGTCAAATTTCCCCTCTGATAAAGACACAGCCATATCGGATTAGGGGCCCACCCTACTCCAGCTTGACCTCATCTTAACTTCATTACATCTATAATAACGCTGTTCTCAAACAAGGTCACATTCCAGGGTACTGGGGATTAAGACTACAGAATATGAATTTGCGAGGCGTGAGTCAACCCATAACAAGTGCCAGTGCTTCAAAGATGGAGATCTGATCCCTGCCCTGGAGGAGTTCTCACAGAAGAGAGATGACAATAGGAATGGAATTTGGAGAGGACAGTGACAGAGGAATGTCACAGAGTGTGGTGGAAGGGGAGAGAGGCATGTGTAACCCAACCTTGGGACATCAGGGAAGAGTCAGAGACTGCACCTGAACTGAGGTGTGCAGATGAGCAGGAAAGGAGGGGTTGGCAGGCACTGTGGGACCTGGTGATAGTCCAGGCTGGGGAGACAGCAAAGCAGCAGCCTGGGGAGAGTGAACGGCTCTGGCTGTGCTGTCTGTTGTAGGTGGAGGGTAGGCTGCTGGGCAGAGAGTGGCAAGAAACGACAATGAGGCCTTGGAGAGTCTCGTATGTCACATAGAGGAGGCCAGACTTACACCTTTAGAGGATGGGAGCCACTGAAAAACTGTGACTGAGAGAGAAGATGTGCATCTATCTAGGCCCAGGGCCTCTGTGAATACAGTGCATTCAGTGCCGTGACGCCAGGCGGGGCTGGAGGCACGGCATTCGGTAGGCGGGCAGAGTGTGGGGCCTGCACCACGGCGGAGGTGGCGGGGCTGGAGAAGTGGCAGCCAGGTGAACTTCCAGGGCTTAGGAACGCCGTGGAGCAAGGAGTGTCTCCGAAGCGGGGTGAAGGAGGCGTCCCGATCGCTGGGGGCGTTTCTGCTGGGACAGCTGAACATGCAGCGTCAGAGCTTTCCTTCAACCTTTATTATTCTCCTTTTCTTTTTTCTTCTCTTTTCTTTTATATATCTTTATTGATTTTAGAGAGAGGAAGAGAGAACGAGAGAGAGAAACATCAGTGATGAGTCATTGATCGGCTGCCTCCCGCACGCCCCCAACTGGGGATGGAGCCCACAACCGGGCCTGTGCCCTGACGGGAATCGAGCCGCGATCTCCCGGATCCTAGGTCAACGCTCAACCGCTGAGGCACGCTGGCCGGGCAACCTTTATTATTTTCATAAAATATATTTAAAATCTCTTTTCTGATTCTTGACTTTCTTATAAACAGGACTATTGCTATTGCCTTGACTAAGATCAGCTTCACTCAAGATTTTTATACCATCCAGATACTCATGGCCAACGTCTTAGGTCTGGATGCTTGTAAACACTACAAAGAACGACAGACCAACATTCAAAATAACGTCAAGACACTGTTGGATGAAAAATTCTACAGTATCTTTAATGACATTTTCCATGTCCAGGTAACTACTAGTGTTAGACTACCACAAGAAATAGTGACGGGGCGGGCGTAGCAACTTCTCCCTGATGCTTTGTGATTTAGCAGCTCTTTGGCTTGTGTGATCTTTTTCTTTTCTTGCCTGGAGAATCTGTGTGGTGAGGAAATGGCTCCCAATCTTCCCTGCATGAGCATTCCCCTTCCTGAGACATACCGGAGGTGTCTAGAAATATATGCTCAAGAAAATCCAAACGCCACCTTCTGGTTCATTTTTCCCCACCTTTCTGTCATAGCTGTACAATCCTAGCAGCCCCTCTGCTCCCGTAGGTGACTGCCAGAGCAAAGACAGAGCATGTGCTGTTCTACTAGAGTCAATGACATAGGGTCTTAAAGCTAGGAGGGACATCATGGATTATCTAACACATGAGGATTTTAAGGCACAGAGCAGTAAAGTGACTTGCCCAAAGTCACACAGCTAGAAGGTCCCTTTGCTCTGTTCCCATGCTCAATGTTCTCGTTATTCTTGCACAGTTCCCTACTTCACGAGAGGTTTCCAGGATGAGCGCCTTGAAAAAGCAAAAGCAGTTGGAAGCATTGTTTATGAAGATCTTGGAGAAAGTAAGAACGTCTGTGGGTCAAGTAATGGGGAGAGGAAAACCGGGCATCTCAGCACAGAGCCAGGAGGCCTGCGGGGCAGGGAGCTCTGAATCGTGGGGAAGCTTGTTTCCTAGTGTTTCAGTCTCTCCCATCCTTCCAAAGCTCGAGCTCAGAGGCTTTTCAGAATGTAGCTAAACTTGAACGGAGTCCCTTAACTTTACTCCTGCGAGGGCGGCCTCTCCTGGAAACCGCCCTGTTTCCCGGCCGTGCGGGATGCAGCACATCTCGGTGGCTGTGCACATAGGCTTTCCAGTCACACAGCCAAGGTGGAGCCTAAGGCCTGTCACCTGCTACCGGGGAACCTTGAGTGAGTGACTTTGCCTGCCTATGCTTTCGTTTTATCGTCTATAAAACGGGGAAACAATGGTACCCAGCTCACAGGGTGGTAAGGCTTCAATTAAACACCCGGCCAATGCTAGTGCGCTCTGTGCGTGATGGCCACCAAATCTATATTCTAGTGCCCACCTCTCCTATAGGTGCCAGAACCACGTGTCCAAGAACCGTGGGCTCCGCAAGGATGCAGTAGCTCCCGCTCACTTCGCTGTGTCGGGGGGCTTCCTCCCCGGGGCCTGCCCTTGTCTGATCGGGCCTGGCGTCGCCCGGCAGATTCCTTCATGCCGTTCCCCCCCTTCCTGTCTGCTGCCTTCCTCACCACCCCCCACCCGCACATCCCCTCCGCTGCCCCTCCTGTTCTCCCTGGGCGGTCTCCGAACCCCCGCGCTCCTGCTGCTGTCCTCGGGCTCCGTCTCCTCCGGGGCCGTCGTCATAGCTCCCCGGCCCACCCCAGGCCTCGCAGCCCTTCACTCCAAGTCGTGTTCTTATAACCGCCTGAGTGCGCATGCAAATCGCACCACCCTACGCCTCACACTCTCACAGCAACTCCCATTGCGAATGAGATAAAAGCCACAAGATTATTTTTTAACCCGGAGAAATGCTATTTGTTCTTCAGCGTCGCCTCTTCGGTGAGAACGCCCCAAGTCACTAGGCAGGACAACCCCTCTTCTACCTGCTTCTGTAATACATTGAACACATTTCTGATTATATTTAACCCCACTGCGGTTTTGAGCTCCTAAGGACAGGGAGCCTCTCACTCATATTTGTGCCACGTAATAACCGATCTCTGGCATATAACACACGTGGCTTGTACCATGTGTATAACACAGTGTCCCCCTTCTCCGTCAGGAAATAAGCGAGGCAAGCTGCGTAGTTTCTGAACGCCAGGCTTTGGACCATTCGCATCACAAGGATCCAGCAAGCTTCTTAGAGAATATGGACCTATGAGTCCTACCCCTAAAGATCCAGAAGGGCTTGGGTTGAGCGTAGGAATCTGTTTAGCTCTGTGCTTTTGTTGTAAAACTTCTCAATTGATTCTAATGCACAGTTTAGTTTGGAAGCCACCACTAAAGCTGTGCTTTCACTACAGGCTGTGACGACGCTCTTTGTGTTGTTTACTCTCTGTGTGACCATGGCAGGTCACCTAACCTGTCTGTGCCTAACTTTTCTCAATAAGGAGAGTCAGTAGCACCAGCTTCCCTGAGCGTTCTGAGGACTCAATCAGTTTATGCGAAGAGCACATGCAGTGCTGGGCACAGCATGGGTACAGTGTCCATGTGGCTTCCACTCACCTTAGAGAATCCAATTCACTGATCTTGTTTAAATATGAAGAACTGGGGCCAGTGATAGACTATCGAATTCATGCTTTTTTTGTTCCTATTCTCCTCCCCTGGGTTCACAAATAATACTGACAACACCATTAATTAAAATGTTCTCAGGGTCAATGAAGAGCTGAATTTCTGGAAACAGAATGGGGCTGTCAGAGTAAACTTAGTAGTATATGTGACAAGGCAGGTTACTAGGTAGTGACTGTCCTGTGAGATTGCAGTGTTACAGTAGCCTTTGCTGCTTTTGTTTACTAAAGCAGGGGAAAGAATAGTTAACCCGATCTGTCCTCAGAGGGAATGGGAGAGGCTGAGCCAGCGGTGAGTGTGGGGGCAGGTTTGTCCCTTACACACCCGCCATGGCAGGAATGAAGGCCTGCTGGGCAAGGGCTGACTCTAATGTGTAAGGACACAGTGCCCTGGCACCTAGACCGTACCTGACTGTCACAGGTGCCCGATCACGCTAGTGAGCCAATCAGTAATTCAGACCAGGTAGGGAAAGGCAGCCTGCACAGAAGAGAGACACGTGATCTGTTTTCGGTGTGACAGACTCGAGTTCCAGCTGGAACAGCAGCAGGTGCCAGGGGGTGGGGCTGGCTCCGCCTCCTTGAGTGCCCAGCCCTCATGTGGTGTGTGCTGGGTATGCATTGGTCTAATACATGTCAAGTTGATATCCCCGGGAGGCCTTCATCTGCCAATAGATTAAGATGACGTGTAGTAAACATCTGTTATTTTATGGAATGGGTGCTTTTACGTGGCCACAATCCTACCTCCCCTACAAATGTGCATTATCTTTGCACAAAGATTTGCCCAATTAAGAGTCCATTCCAGCCAGCTCTGTCCAAATTGCCACAAATTCCAAGTTAGTGGAATCTAAATTAATTCACCTTTATTGGGAAAAAAATATTTAACTCACCCCACACAACCAATGGGTACACACACATACCCACGCATGGACAAAAGCCCCAAGTCCTGCAGCGCTTTCCTCTGTGTTTCTGTACCTTGTCCAGACGGTGAAACAGGAAAGAGTTATTTTCATCATTGATGAGTCCCAGTTTATCGATTCGGCCTCCTGGGCCTTTCTGGAGAAGCTTATCCAGACCATCCCTATCTTCATCATCATGTCCCTGTCCCCATTCACCGAGCCGCCCTGTGCGGCTGCCAGCGCCATCATAAAGAACAGGAACACCACCTACGTCACCCTCGGCGCCGTGCAGCCCAGCGACATCCGCAACAAGGTCTGCCTGGACCTGAACGTCAAGGGCATCCCCAAAGAACTGGACTTGTGAGTAACCTGCCTCTCTCTGGAGGGCTTAACATCTGCATTCACTGCCCAGGTCCAGACATCATCAAATTCCTTAAGGTGCGGCTTAACGTGCCTATTTCAGAATCTGGCTGGGCCGCCTTTCGAAGGGGCCATCCTTCAGGCTGGGTAGGAGGGATGCTGTCCCTCTTTCCTTGTTATGGTCCCTGTCGTGCCTGCTCAGACGCTGCGTGGTGACATCGGTTTTGTTTCCCTTTCATCTAGCCGGGTGTGGGTTTTCTCTAGTCAAGTCTGAGTCAAGACCTTGTCATGAGCAAGTGACTCAAAAGGCAAACCCGTAAACATGAAAGACCACAACTTGCACCTAAGCGAGATCCTGCTGGGCTGGCGCCGTCTGTTGGTGCACATGGAAGGCTGGCTGTCTAGTCAGTGCTCCTGTGCTCACCCTCTCCTGGGGCTTGGCAGGAGTCCCCCGAAGCACACAGACAACACCTCGCCTTTAGCTGGCTGTTCACAGCTCACCTGGTGTCTGCCTCAGTTCTTTCTGGTAAGGTTGCCTTGCTTCTGGAAGAAACATTGAACATATAAACCAGAAATGAATGAAAATGGTCACTTAGAAGGTGAGGAAGGGAAGCAAGGCTGAAGATGTGCCTTATTTTATAGTTTTGGCTTTGGAAAGATGGTAAATGTTTTATGTAATTAGGAGAAAAAAAAGAAAAGAAAAAGCAATCCCTAAAAATGGAAAATACATGGAAAGCCGTGGAGAATGAGAAGAGATCATTTTCCAGTGACTGAGAAGTCGCAAACGCTCCTCCTGGAAAGGTGGCTCCTCCAGGTAAGCAGTTGCCTCGTGTGCACTACAGGTACCTGGTGGAGGGAAGCTGCGGGATCCCATTTTACTGCGAAGAATTGCTAAAAAACCTCGACCAGCACAGGGTGCTCATCTTCCAGCAGACGGAGTCTGAGGAAAAGGCCAACGTGTCCTGGAATAACCTGTTCAGTGAGTCCCCGGCAGTTTTCCCTGCCCTGCGGAGGGCGGCAGACTGGGCCGTCCACAGGCGGCCTCCCGGGGGTCAGAGGGTTTGGGGAGTCAGGGACTGTGTGGGACCTGAGGCCTCTGACTGTGGACTGTGAGAGAACATAGAGCGTAGCCTCTTGGAGTCCCAGAAGACAAAACTATGAGGCAAGTTTACCAGTCAAGCCTCACCATTTTTAATATGTCCTTCTGGTACTAACCATGTCAGAAGTAGAGTTCTGGCTCCTCATGAGTGTGTTGGCATCTGAGTGTGGGTATCTGAACGTGTGTGAAATATATGTTATTATATACTGTAAGATACATCCTGATACTCTTTGAATCAAATTTTTGTAAAGCTGCATGTACTTCCAATAGTTTTTGTTTGGGGCCAGGGGTGGAAGCAGAGGCACAAAACATGTTTGTTTGTTTTTTGTTGCTGTTAATCTTCCCCTGAGGATATTTTTTCCATTGATTTTTTTTTTTTTTTTTAGAGAGAGTGGAAATGAGGGAGACAGAGAGAGAGAGGTGAGAGAGACACATGGATTGGTTTCCTCTAGCATGCTCCCCAACCAGGGCCAGGAGAGAACCTGCAACCCGGGTACTTCCCCTTGACCGGGAATTGAACCAGCAACCCTTCATGTGTGGGCCAATGCTCTAACCACTGACCCACACCGGCCAGGGTGGGACAAACATCTTCTAAATAAATTTATGTTTTTCTTATATCAGTTTTACCTAATACACAGTATTCCAGACTATTTGGTGAGCCAACACACACCTCTGCCTGCTCCTCCTCACGCGAGACCCACCTCAAAGTTCACCAGAAAGTCAGGATAATTTCAGAGCAGCAACTGTCACCTTTTCTTTCCCATTACCTCCTGGTAGAGAACGTTGCTAAGCCAACAGAGCAGTTAAAACCATTCACGCTAGGCAGTGAGGAGGGGAGTGAAGAAGTTTGCAAGCTCTCTAGCGGCATCAGATTGAAGAACCTGTCACCACCGGCGTCGCTGAAAGGTACAGACAATTCCACCTGGTGCCCTCTGCTTCCTCTAGCTTCTAGATTTATTGAATTTCGAGTCCCGCCTGTGATTGCCTTGGCAGGGTGAGACCAAACGATTTCTCTGGCCGTATATGCCCAAGGGCCGGATGGTGTGTGTGCCCCCCCCTCCCCGTCGTCAAA